AAACCAGAAGAGTGCCTCAAGCAGTAACTTCACCAAATCACCCTGCAGAATCTGAACTGACTCACTGACCAGAAGCTTAGCTATGCATGCTTCTCTAGGCTGCCCAATTCTTCCTCTATGCTTTTGTAAACCTCCAAGGATGGATCTGGAGTCAATGCAGCCCCTTCTAAGTATTTCCCAACATGGCCTTGCTAACTCAATCTCCCGTCTCTACTTTCGGCACTATTCATTCCTTTAGTTGATATACTGGGGTGAGTGACTAAGATCATCAGCACCTTGGGGCTCTTGGTATCTGATGGTACACTCCAGTGAAAGTACTTAAGCATCCAGCTACTTTAGGAGCTCAGACACTCCAGAAGGCAGCCCATTAGGATCAGCCTGGAGGGAGGGTCATCTGCCTGAGGGTCTCCTAACAGGGATCAGACAGTGGCTGAGGACCAGAGCTCACAGAAAATGCTGCTGGACAGGATACCTTGAGCAGCCAGGGCTGCTTCTGACTTGTACTCCAATAGGTAAGAGTCTCTTCACCTTTACCTCCAAAACCTGCACCTTTCACTTCAGAAAGAGAATGCACTGAGGACCCATGACATCACATTTACTGCAGGGTTTTCTTTACACCCTGGCCTCACTAGTCTATACAATTACTTTAAACCTTCCCTATAACACATACATTTCAATCTTCCTGCAACACAGGACTCTAATGTATATACCTTTAATGGGCAAGTATCTACAATCACAAAAGTTTAACCATTCTGTCAGTAGCTAGCTCAAATGTCCATGTTACCCAAAGGCAGCAAGACAGTATGAATAGTCTAGGAAAAAGCAGAGTTGGAAAGCAGTGCCCAGCATTGAGACTAACCTGGGGCTAACCTTATGGGCAAACACTGTGGAGGGGAATTCAGAGATGTGGGCCCAGCTGTCACACAGCTGTGTCTAAACTGCCTGGTTTTTTCCACCTCACAAAGAATTAAGAGGTTATATGAACTACTCTCATTTCTGTGATTACAAAATACAAGGACTATGAAAGGACCACAAAACCATTCACCCACCCAACTGTCCTTAGCTTGTTTTAAATTTTCCTACCTAAATTTGACATAAAGTAACAACTACTTTAGTAGGGCTGGAGCTTTGCACAGCAATCAAGAGAAATGTCTACAACTCCAGCACCAGGTTCAAGTCCCATCACCCAAATAGTGGCACAGAATCACCCATTCCTCCAGTCCTTGAGGATCTGACATCCTCTTCTGGCCTCCCCAGGCACTACATGCATGTGGTACACAGACACACCTGCAGGCAAACACATAAAAATACAATGAAAAGCTGGACATGGTAGTGCATGCCCTTAATCCCAGCACTTGGGAGGCAGAAGTAGGCCTACGAGTTAAGGCCAGCCAGGGCTACAAAAGGAAAGAAAGAGGGAGCAGGAGACAGAGAGACAGAGACAAAGAGAAAGAGGAAAAGAAAGGGAAGGGAGGGGAGGGGGAGGAAGAAAAGAATATTACTAATGCAATTACAGTGTCCTTCACAGTCCTCTGGGGCTTGCCAGTGGCCTACATTGCAGTCATGGCCCCTAGATAACTATGAGCATACTGCAGCACATGTACAACAAATCAAGTGGGCAAAGCAACTGACAGAGTATCAGGAAGGAAATCGTTTACCCTGTCTGCTTACACAAGCACTGCTTGACACGCATTCTCCAGTGTCTCCAGTGCTCAGTGTAGGACACCTCCTCACTAAATGCTGGAAAATAAATGTGTCATGGTATGCACACAGGCAAGCCTTTGAGTGTCTTGGGAGCAGTTCCAAGTAGAATGAGACCACATGGTTAGACAAGAAAAGACAGTTGTCAAAACCATAAAGGAAAGAAATTTCCAACTAAAAGGCAGGTATCAGCTACTTGATTCTCTGCTATACTCTGCAATACATTGTTTTCTGGTTTGTTATTTTAGACAGAATCTATGTAGCCCTGGCTGTGCTGAAACCCCCTCTGTGGGCCAGGGTGGTTTCATACAGAGATCTGCCTCCCGGGTACTGGGATTAAAGGTATGCACCACTACACCCAGCTTGCATAAAGTGCTTTTAAACATACTATTTATTAAGCATACCAAATGACTGTTTGAGAATAACTGAACAACATTTTGATCTAGCTTAGCTTTTTTGCATCCTCCAAGCAACAGAATGAGAAAATCTCCATAACTTTTTGAACGTGGGCCCCTTCAACCTCCAACATGTTGCCCATGAAAAGTCCACTCATAGGGAGTCACTGCTCTCTGGAGCTAGGCTCTGGGATGAGCAATGTAAAGCCCGGCTGAGTACAACCTTCAGCTGGAGGTGTATATAAATGATCCAACAGCAAAATAAGTAAACAAACAAGCTAACACTATAGTCAATAACTGTCCTTGTGGTTTATAGCACATTACTGTGGCCATGGTTACTAAAATAAGGCCTTAAAGAGAACTGGGACATTAAACAGCAGTGGAAAGAAAACACACTTGGTGAGGGCTCCAGTTTCTCTGCGTAGTTACATCACCACGCTCTGAAGCTGGGTGGACACAGGAAATGCTTTACAGAGAACAAGGAAAGCTAAACCAGGAGTGGAACTGGAAGCCCCTTTCCTCACAGACAGTCTGGTTAATAGTCATCCCTGAGAGGTTAGGGTTGTCAGTACCAAGAAAGATGGTACCATTCCCAGTTACATAACAGACTTCTAAGGAGTCCTAGGACCAGCACGCATCAAACTTCAATCTTGGTCTTTGCTTGTTTGTTTGTGGGAGGCAGTTTACAGTATGGTAGGGGCAGAGGTGAGACTGGCCTCTAACTTTATATATAAGCCAAGGATGACACTGAACTTCTGACTCTCCTGCCTCTAACTCCCAGGTGCTTAGATTACAGGCAGGTGTCACTGTTCTTGATTTTTAATCCTTAAACAGGGTCATTGTATACAGTTGTTTTTATTTTGAGACTGTCTCATGTAGCCCATGATGACCTAGAACTCACTGTATGTATGTGAAGATGACCCTGAACACCCACCTCATTATCACACTTCTATCTCCTATGCTAGAGATGGAAAACAGGGCTTCATGAATACTGTGCAAGCACTCTACCAACTGAACCACATAATCCCCAGCCCCAGTAAACCACATCTTAGAACAGTGCTGTGGTCATACTGTAAATTCTGCTACAAGCTACTGTAGCTATTTTGCTATTATATATCCCAGAATAGCTATGAATTTGGCCAACATACTTGTAAATGACCAAGTCATATTGGCAAAAGATTAGACATGGGTAAAGAGGGCTCAGTGATTTAGGAGAGAGTACTGTTCTTACAGAAGAACAGAACTCAATTCCCAGGAACCATGTCAGGTAGCTTACAACCACCTATAACTCTAGCTCCCAGGAATCAGATGCCCTCTTCTGGCCTGAACAGGTATCTGTACTCCTGTATGTATAGGCCCATAGAGATAAACACACACACACACATACACACTTACACTGCCTTTAGGATTGAACCTGCCATGAGTCTAACCCACTCACACCACAGAGCAGTCACTTTCCTACCAAGCCAAGATCATAAACAAGTTTATTAAGTCAAAGAAAACAATATTTAATTAGAAAACCATATTACCTCCACCCATTTGCTACCCATGTCTTCTAATCTGAAGAAGCCAGAATGAAAAGTATTCTAATTTGACTGCAATTACCTGTCACCCTTATTCTAGTGTGTATAAATCTGCCAGCACTTCCAGGAGTGATGGTACACACCTTTAATCTCAGCACCCAGGAGGCAGAAGCAGATGGATCTCTGTCTATGAGTTCAAGGACAGCCTGATCTATATAGCAAGTACCAGGTCAGCTGGGACTACATAGCAACTCTGTCTCAAAAAGGAAATTTGGGGAGACAATCATTACTGGCTTTTATGTACCAACTCTTAAAAATCATGTACTTATCCAATAACTACTTTCAGAGCCAAATCTTGGGCTAAGCACCATTCTAAGAATCATAATGAAAGAGGAATACCAATCTCTGCTCTCCAAAATATGACAAGATCCAGTTACCTCTCCTAGAATGGCCTATAAGAAGCATGATGCACTGGTTAAAACATGCAAAGGAGCCAGCAAGATGGCTCATAGCTCAACTGGTTAAGACACTCACTGCCCAGCCTAAAGATCTGAATTCAATCATGGCATCCACCTGGTGAAAAGGAGACTCATATACGTTGTTCTCTGGCCTCCATTCATGTGCCATGGCATGCTCATACATACACTCACAAAATAAATGGAAATGTAACAAAATCTAGTAAAGCTTCAATATTCCTCTTTCAAGCCCCTTGTCACCCAGGCCTGCTTAATTCTAACATAATATGCAGTCATGCCAAACTTAAATCCACATAGAGAACTGAGACTACACTTAACTGAGTTAATGTTCTAAGCTTCTCATACAACCATTATAATGCAAGTAAGGTAAATATACCATTCTTGTCAACCAAAGAAAATAAATCATATTGACAAAACAAATTTTGTAATATGAAAGAAACAACAACCTAGAAGCAGTGGTTCTCAAACTTGACTGCATTTTAGAAACGCCTAGAAAACTATTTTTAAGATTTCACTTCACAAGCTGTACTCTGAGTAATCAAATTTGAAAGCCACCAATGCAAGCAGGCTGCGGCAAGTGGTTTACTTTCCCATTGCACTACAGGAGAATGGTAATCCTGCTTCCATGAGCTGAGAGCTTCACAAATATTTCTATACTAACTACTCTGACCTAATCAGCATATAAGGTGAGGAGACTCAGAGCTTCCTGTCAAATTTCGGAAAGAAGGCATAAACCTAAATATATGGATGTAAACAACTCAAGCTTACTGCCAGAAAACAAAAATAAAGCATTACAATTTTATCCCAAAATTTGTTAGACATTGATGTCATGTAAGAGCCACACCCTCACTTCTAGATACCTGAAAAGCAAGAGGCGGAGGGAAAATAACAATCTTCAGGCTGGCTTGTGAAGGGTTTTGTTTGTTTAATACATCTGAAAAGAATTCATATACAAAGAGTTGAGACACAAGAAAGCAATATGGTTCAGCACTAACAAATCCACAAGATCAGGACTAGGGAAGGAGATTACCTAAACATTTTTAAAAACTGGAACCTGCAAACAAAATAGCCTGATAAAGTCTCTATTAACACTTATGAAGAGTCATGAGGCTCCCGCCATTTTTCTTGAGAGAGCTTCGGCCAGTTGTTCAAGGGTTCCTCATAGGCATGAAAGAAAAAAAGGGGACAGCCCTGACTGGTCCCCATGTTGGTTAAAAGTATGCTCCCCACCCCACATGCTCATAGCTTCTGAATGAAGCAGACCTATAACCTCATCACCTGAAATGAGGTGGCAATCATCAGTAAGCATGTGTCTTCCAGCACCATCCCCTAAGGAACCCGGTGTACCAGGTCTTCAGCTGAATCTAGGAACACTACACAGTGAGTTGTAAATCTATGCTAAGCATATAAGAAAATGACTGACAGGGGCAAAAGAACTTCTTTTTTTTTTTTTTTTTTTTAATTAGGAACTCGATCCATTTGGTGTATTTCAAAAGGTGCAATACTTTTTTTTCATTTATAAATGAAATTAGTTAGAAATTATCCCCCCCCCTCCCTGTATCAGCAAATGGCAAACAAATACCCTTGAAAGTCACAGTCACATATAGAGTGCATCCTAGAAAGAGGGGCAAGACAGCTTCCACCACCGTCATGAGTTTCATCAAAGACTGGATCCACTTAAGGGTGGAGAGAAAAGGCAACTTTCAAGAAGGAGTATGTTATTAAACGAGGCATTTCTATACTCCTTCCTAAGAGCACCAGGTGGGGACATATTTGCTAAACTAGACCTAGGGAGTGGAATGTGGAAATAACCTGTCCTCCTCCCCCACAGGCTGTCCTCTGGTTAACAAATTTTTAAAAACAAGACTAAGAAACAACCCCACACACATCCCAAAAGGAGAGAAGGGTTGGGGGGAAAAAACAAAACCAAAAACAAAAGACACTAAGATGCCCCAGATTTCTCTCCAAAATGGAAGCAGGGAGCAACTGTGACAATTGGAATTAGTCTGTTACAGTCATCACACGCATGCCTTGCTTTTAAACAAAACAAAACATTTGTGGGGATTTGCTGTTGTTGTTTTAAACAAGGAAACAAAAACTAACACTCATCACTTTTCAGACAATACACAATTATTCAAAATTAACTATTACTGGAAGGGCAAGGGGGCCATACCAATAGGCCTTGTCTCACATGAGTGCATGTGGGTAGATGCAGGGCGTTTGTCATTATTGCAGAAACAAATTTTAATTTTTAATCTTTAGTTTGATTTAAACATTGCTTTTAGTATGATGACAACACCAGCTGTGCAGAAAGGGCTCTGGAGAGGCGTTCATAGCAGCACACACCTGCGGCTCTTCTTGGGTTCTGGAGGCTCCAGGGCAGCCAATATTGCTTCATCAAACACATTCTTTAGGCCTTTCTGAAAAGGGGTAGAAAGAAGAAATGGGCAATCTGATTTTCAGTGTAACAACAGAGCTGGAGTTCATGTTTCAAACAGTCAAACCTCAAAGACAGTGGGCAAAGAAACTGAAACTCAACCTAGTAATTTTGCTTCTACCAGTTCTGTCTTGTCAGAGCACAGGAAAGATTCAGCAATGCTGGCACAGATGAGCAGATATTCCTGAGTGGTCCTGAGATAATTTTTGCAAACCAATATAATGTCACAAGAAGCAAACAAGCACCTGTTATTTGCTCATTCAATGAGTTGTGTAATGTGTTGCTAAAACATTTTACGTGGGAACAAAGGAAGCAACTCTGCATTCAAATGTAGCAGCAGCATGTAAAACAAAGTACATCTGGGCAGCGGTATCCATGTTTTATGAAAGGCAGTGAGTGGGCAGCAAGGGTATGGCAGCTATAAATATATTGACTTTGAACTCCCTTTATCCTACTAATTAGACAGAGTCAAGGGGATTCAAGAAAGCAGAGGTGGGTACCTAATACAAAAGTGAAGTTGGAGCCAGTCAGTGCAACAGGAATAAAGCTTCACCAGGCATTTATACAAACAATTGTATATTTTTTAATTTCAAAATGTAAAGATAACCACAATTGTATGTTTTCCTCACAACAATAGAATCAAAATCAGGAAAATATAAAGGCAGTAGCTTTACATTTCAACATCAGCAAACCTTAAGTCAATTGTTAAATGGATGCTAGGATTAGAAGATAATGTGTAACAATGAACTCATAAAGCAGTAAGCAGATACATGGATACCTTCCCCATCCCAGAATGACAAACACTCCACCTATAGCACAAACAGCCAAAGCAAGAGCAACACAGATATTTCACTGCACACAGGAAAACCATAGCAGAAACCTCCCTTCCCCGTTACACTCTACCAGCAAGTCAACCTTTTTCATAGTTTGTCATGCAATTACAATTAACAATCAGTAAGAGAGTAATGATGTTTAGCAATAGTTTCTCCATCTAGAACTAACACCTAGAAGTGTTAAAACTCTTATTTTCTCCAAGAAGACATCATTCTTAATGCCAGACCACATTCCCTTTTGCAATAATTAAAACCAAAAGCTCTGAGCATCAGGCAACTCAAGCAGCAGAAAGTTAAACAAGTCTAATATGACTACTGATCACAAAAAATATTCTAAGATATTGCATTCATGATTAAAAATGAATACAAAGTTTGCTCTAAGGTGTTGAGTAAAAAGACGCAGAGGCTTTCAAACAGGATGGTTTTATTCCTTTGTTTTAAATGATCTTTCTACAGTAGTGGGACAGGAAGCAGCAGCAAAGAGGGGAAGGAGAAAACAGTTTAGAATATACAGCACTTCCTTTTGGGTTGAGTTTCCGGAGGCTCGAGGGCAGCTAGGATAGCCTCATCAAACACATTCTTCAGACCTCTCTACAAGACAGAGGGGAGGAGAGAGAATAGCAGCCAGGTTAGAGGATTAGAGAGACTAGCAGATACAATAGCAGTCTGGATTAAGAGCTGAATTCACAGAAGCAATGTGCTTAAGGAAAGGAGATACAAGAATGCTCATTCATAAGTAAGAGAGTATTGAGAGGGTAGATAACTGGATAGAAATTTCACCTCAAAAAAAATTAAGCAATATGCAGTATGTTAACTTATAAAGAATCACATACTGAAATCTACTATTACATTTTGGTTTAAAAAAAAATCCCAAGAGGAAAAAAAATAGCTATATAAATACAAGATAAATGTGTTTGAAAGGTGAGATTCCTCCAACATTACTATAGATGATGATGATATACATATTTTAGAAATAAATCTATTAGAATTCCAGACTTTTGTGAATTCAGCCCCTGAATAACTGAAGAGCACAAACAGCGACTAACAGGCATGCTATATGTTTTTAGATTCAGTAACATATCAGGATGGGATTAATCAGGATTTAGTAGCAGCAACTGTAAGGAATGGACCCCAGAAACAGCATGCACTTCAGGTACTGGGCAATGTTATTAGAGCAAGGAACCACCACCCAAGTCATAAGGAAACAGAAAACGGGGTCAGAATGAGTCAGCAAGCAGTCCGATGATTTTAGATGCCTGGATGGGCCCAGCGCATGTAGCATGGAATGAAAACAGAACACCCTCACATCTACAGGGACTAGACTAGAAATACACTTACAGCTCCGCCAGAAACTCCAAGAACACTGTGATTCACAGCAATGAAACTCTGAGCCCACACAGATCACCTACCCCTGAGCCCATAGGTGTATCACTCAAGAGCAGTTTTACATGTTCTTTAGGTCAGTTTGATCTTAAAAAATGTCCCCCACTCCCAGACACAGCCCCAGCAGTGTCAGCCACTAGACTACCGCAGGCATTGCCCTCCTTGCACCCTACACCCCCAGAGGAACCATACCCACACAACCCATTTGATAGAAAATAAATGAGATAACAATCAGAAAATGAGGTTTTAACATTTTTCTTCTTTTACATCCTTTTTCTAGTAGAACTACTATACTAATGTTAAAGTACCTACCTCTGCAACCTATCCATGAATCTGTATGGACACTCACAGGCAAATACAAGAAACAAGAGGGTGGGAGGGAAATACTTTGTAAAAACTATAAACAGTGGAAGAGGACCATTAGAAGGAAGGGTAAACCCCATAGAAGGAACAGGTTAGGAGGCTTAATCCCAGCACTTGGGAGAATACTGAGCTTAACATCAGCCTGGGGCTATAGAGTGAAACCTGTCTCAAAAATAAGTAAATAAATAAATGAATCTTTTTTAAAAATAATAATAAAAAGACATTCCTTTCTTGTGTATTTACTTTGGGAAAAGATCAGCACATATCTTATGAAACAAAGCTAATCTTGGCTTCATTACCATCTTGCTATATAACATAAACATTTAGTTATAGAGGAATCAACAAATAGAACTTTTTAACCTCAAACCCCATTTTCTTTTAATTCTCTGACTTCTCCTAACTTCAGAATCTAAAAAGGAAAATGCTCCTCCTATATATAACTCCTCATGCTTCCAGTTCTAAATGACTCAATAATCTGTTCACATTCTGGAAATCTCACATGAAATATCTAATTGTCTAAAACAAGCTTCACCAGTGACCTAAAACTGGGTCCACATGGCCCACTATTTCTCCAAAGCATCCCATATCTAAGAACAGAGAACATGCCTCAGATACATGCTGTTGGGTTCTGCCCAGCTCTTGTGAAGTTTTAAATATTTGCTTCTACAATGAGATCAACTGCTAAGCTGGGCTAGGGGAATATAGAACTAAAAAATTACGCTTTGTCGGACATGGTGGGACACATCTGTAATCCAGCGCTCAGGGAGGCAGAGCCAGGCAGATCTCTTGTGAGTTTGAGGCCAGCCTGGTCTAAACCAAGTCCAGACAGCCAAGGCTACACAGAGAAAACCTGTCTCTAAAAAAAAAAAAAAGCCTTAAAGTTATCCTGCAGAATCTAGTTAAGCACAAAAGCTTTATGTATACAACCAAGAAAAGGCTGGGAGCTTTAATTATGCATCTGGTCCTTCATACACTAAATCCCTCATGAAAATCTAACTATGCATAATTATACATATATTATTGACATACATTTGATCAAGAACCCAACAGTATTAAAAACTATATTTAATACATTAATCTATTTTCATTATGCATGTAGATCAGTGAATCCAATGCTAATCATTTCCAAAGTTCTTTCCTTTGTTCCTAGAACCACATTCAAAACAAGGAATGGGAGATTTTTGGTGAATAATATTAACTATCACCTTGACAAAAACCAGACACATCTGGCAATTGGCCTCTGGGTATGCTTATGAGGAATGAACTTGATTATAATGACTGATGTGGGAAGACCCATCTTAATTGTAAGGGGACCATTCACTGGGCAGAGGACTTGGGACTGGACAAAGATAAAGTGAGCTAAGCACTAGCATGCGTTTATTTGTTGTTTCTTGCCTGGCTGCAATGTGAGCAGTGGCTTAAGCTCCTTCTACCTGATCTCTGCACATGATGGACTGTACTTTAAATTGTGAGCCAGAATAAACCTTTCTCCTTTAAGTTGCTTTTGTCAGGGTATTTTGCTAGAGCAAAAAGGAACTAAAACACAATGCTATTAAGCTACAGAAGACTAAAATGCACAAGCATGTTAACTCTCACTGCTCCCTGAACTCAGCTCCAAGGACTTCTAAATACATCACTCAAAAATAGCCACAGAAAAAAATCTATAAGGGAAATAATACCCTTGGAAACACAGGATTGGAGATAATATTTAACATATGACTAAGGACTATGGCAAAATTAACCCACAAAGTAGGCTCCTTCTTTGACTCAAAAGCCTCAAATATTATGCTTAACTCTCTGTCCCAGTTCAATTACCCTAGGAATTGTATGTTATTTGTCAGAACTACTAGAGAAAAAAATTTAAGTATCTAAAGATCAAAAAAAAAGGGGGGGGGGGAGAAAGGAAGACAGGAAGGAGGGAATGAGGGAAGAAAGGAAAAAAGAAGGAAGGAAGGAGGGAAGGAGGGAAGGAGGGAGGGAAGGAGGGAGGGAGGGAGGGAGAGAGGGAGGGAGGGAGGGAGGATAGCCTGCTCGCTTGTAAGTCTGCTCTTATTTGGACCTCACCTGAAGGTTTACTAACACCATCTTGCCCACTCCAAACCATTTGCCAAAAGTACAACATGAGAGGTAAGAAATGCCAGACTTTGAGCTGGAGAGATGGCTCGGTGGTTAAGAGCACTGTCTGCTCTTCCAAAGGTCATGAGTTCAATTCCCAGCAACCACATGGTGGCTCACAACCATCTATAATGTGAACTGATTCTGTCTTCTGGCAGGTGTAAATGCAGATAGAACACTTATATACATTAAAAAAAAATAAATCTTAAAAAAAAAAAGAAATGCCAGACTTTTAAGAGACTAACAAGGCTCTCCATAAACACAGTCCTCTCACAAAACATAATGAAGCCAGACATGTTCTTCCTGAGCATTACTGCTGAATATACCTCTGTAAAGCAGGCTTGGGGCTACAATCGTGTAACTCAGTTTGAAGCAGAATTGCTACAAACTCCACACTACTCTGCGCTACAAAACAAGAACAAGTTCAGCATGGGCTATGTAGCAAATCACTGTCTCAGAAAAGAAAAAGAGGGCTGGAGAGAGGGCTCAGTGGCTAATAGTGTTTGCTTCTCTCCAGAAAACTGGAGAGTTACATTCCCAGCACCCACTACAGGTAGCTCACAACTGCTGGAACTCCAATTAAGTACAAATGTAAAGGTCTGAGGATACGAAAGATTGTGTAATTCATGAGGATCTAAGAAAGCAATTTAAAGTGTGTAAGTGGAAGTTAAAAAGGTCCAAGGATGTTAATGCTTAACTAAGTTATGACAGTCTAAAAAAGTGATTTGCAAGTTGTAAAAGTCTAAGGAAGTGATCTAACGTATGTGAAAAATGAGAAATGTTTCAAATTTCTATGTTATTACTGTGTTATTTTTATATTAAGACTTCAAAAATTCAAAGTTGTAAAATTAATCGATGGAGTTCTGATAACCTATTTATCTATCCCTGGTAAAGCGCTGACTACTATGAAGATGGCCCAGATGTTAAGAGCAGTGACTGCTCTTCCAGAGGATCAGGGTTCAATTCCCAACACCCACTAAGAAAACAAGCGCTGACTACTACTATTAGTCACAGGCTCACAATTTTTAACTTCAAGCTGAGCACGTGGGCACATGCCTGGAATCCGGCACTCAGAGAGACAGAGGTAGGCAGATCTTTGTGAATTCAAGCCCAGCCTGGTCTACAAAGCAAGTACAGGACAGCCAAGACCAAAAAGAAAAGGTTTTCACTTCTTTTGGCTATTTTCTAAATATAAACATAAAAGTATTTCTCACTGCTGGGCAGTGGTGGCACACACCTTTAATCCCAGCACTTGGGAGACAGAGGCAAGCAGATCTCTGTGAGTTCGAGGGCAGTCTGGTCTATGAAGAGAGTCTAGGACAGCCAGTGCTACACACAGAAACCCTGTCCCAAAGAAAAAAAAAGGAAAAAAAAAAAAAGTTTCTCATGCTGAAAACATCTTTGGCTTTTAAACACTTGTTAACTACTTTTTCTACAATGATGATTTCAGTGCAGAGTACAAATAGCAAAAATGCCAATTTATCTAAAACTTTTACCTTTTTGTAAACTTTAAAAAATTCATATAAGCTTTAGAGAGTCAAGACTTAGATCCAGCAGTCACAGGCCAAACAGACCTCCAGATAAGCAGTCCTGTCAATCAAAAAATTAAGCTTTCCTGCCTACTGCCTATCCTTGAGGGTGGGCTCTGCCCTTGGTCTTGGGGCTTCTTCCACCACCATCATCCCTGTTCCCACCTACCAGAAACACAGGCCTCCAAGTTTCAAGTGTATACCCAAGATAAAGATTTTCCCCTAAGCCCCTCATCTTTATATTCTGGTTTTAGTCTGTACCTGTTCCCACAGATTTTCAATCAACTGCAGAATGCAACTGCTCCAAACATGCCAGGCTCAGGTGGTACTTCAGAAACAGCAAGCCCTGTCCTTGCTGAAAGCTAATGTAAACTAAACACTTCAACACAATTTCCAACTTGAGCCCTAGCTTTGGACCAGCATTCCAGATTGCTCAAAGCACTCAAATCTAGCCTCCCCACAACCCAAAACCTTAAACAGGCATTTCAGCCTTCCTGAGCCCCGACAACAATGTCCTAATTTCAGCTAAGAAGCAGTTACATAAAAGAGATTACACTGCCCTTATCATAAACAAAAGGCTGGAATGTCAGGCCCAAATTCTGACAGTTCCACAGACGCCCTCATTCCTCAGAAAGGCATTTACTTATCACTGGCAGAAGGGACAAATGGCTACCCATGATGCCTGTCAGCATACCACCCCCCCCCCCACTCCCTCAGTATCACAAGTACTGGTTACACATTTTAACATTCTAGCTCTTCCTCACTACACTCTTTCTCTAAATTTCCCCAACTCAGAAACTTCTCTCCCCCAGCCCCACCTTCTCATTCCCTTCTATTTCTATTATTTTAGTTTTATGTCAGCTCTCTCGGCCCACTTTCTCTTCTTCTCTCACAACAGCCCCCTGACTAAGTTGAGTCTGCTGGCCAAGTTCTGTCTACTATTTTCTTTCTCTGCTCTGGATTCTTCCAGATGCCTCTGGCTGTACCCTCCTCATATCTACAATAGAAACTTTCTCTCAACCATACTTTGGAATCGTCATGTTGTCAGCTTATACATTCAGCAGAACTGTACTCATACAGTATACATTCACAGACATAAAATACTTTCACATAAATAAAATACTTTTTTTTCAGTTTTTAAGGGAAAAAGAAAGAATTAAAAAAATAAATTAAAAAAAAAAAAAAACCCTCTGTGTCCTAAAACAATCAACTACAGAGACATGCATCCAGAGCCCTTACCTGTGTGAGGGCGGAGCACTCCACATACTTGACAGCCTTCAGATCCCGCGCCAGCTTTTCAGCAGTCTCTGGAGTGATAGGCTTCTGTTTGTTCTTGGCAAGTTTCTCAATAGTAGAGGGGTCATCTCTGAGATCAATTTGGGTCCCAACAAGCAAGAAAGGAGTCTTTGGACAGTGGTGAGTTATCTCAGGAACCCACTAAAAGCAAGGTTTAAAATGTTTTTGTTAATCCACAAGCCTCTGAACTGTGATAGGGCAACAGACTGCTGTGTAGGTTTCAAGGGGGAAAAGTCTAACTCACCTTTTCTTTCACATTTTCAAATGAGGATGGAGAGACCACTGAAAAACACACTAGAAAAACATCTGTTTGTGGATAACTCAGCGGTCGTAGTCTGTCATAATCCTCTTGCCCTAAAGAAAAAGTTAGAGAGGTCAACAACTAAAATTTGTTATCTTCACAGCATTAATATCACAGGTCTAGGGGCTGAAGAGATGGCTCAGTGGTTAAGAGCACTGGCTGCTCTTCCAAAGGACCTGGGTTCAAGTCCCAGAACCCACATGGCAGCTCTAACTGAAACTCTAGCTCCAGGAGGATCTGACACCCTCACACACACATATAAGCAGGAAGAACAATGTACATAAAATAAATAATTCATTAAAAAAATCACATGTCTAAGTAAATGAATACAAATCACAGGTCAAGGGCTATAGCTCTCTAGTATGTAGAGTGATTACCTAGCATCCACAGAAACCTGGGCTCAATCTCCATACCACATAAAAATCAGGTATTGCTGGTACAAGCTTATAATTTCAGCACTAGGAAGATAGAGGCAGGAAGGTTGACTGTGGGGCGAATTTGAGCTATATAAGACCAAAAAAGTAAGTAAATAAAAAATAAAAGGTCAAAGATGAGCATGATGGAGCTAGCATGATCACTCAGTGTGTAAAGATGGTGGCTACCAGGCCTAACAACCTGAGTTCCTCCCCAGGAAAGAGATGGTAAAAGTAGAAAACCAACTCCCCCAAGTTTACCCTCTTGACCTCCACATACACATGCTGTGGCATGTGCTTCCAGATAGACAGACAGATAGACAAACATAGATAAGGGTAATTACAAAGGAAAAAAATAGGGAGGTTGTGAGGCATGCCTATAAACCCAGCACTCAGAAGGCAGAAGCAGGAGGGTCACCACAAGTTTGAGAACAGCCTAGTCTACCAAAGCAAGCTCCAAGACAGCTGAAACTACATAGTAAGAAGAAAGGGGGAGAAAAAAAAAATTACAGCTCTGTCAACACTTCAAGTGTGCAGCTCTTCGCACACTAGCCATTAATGATAATGCAATTTACCTAATCAAAGGGATGCCTTATTGTTTGGACAATACTATCTAAGCTAATTTACTTATATGTCAATAACTTAACAGAAAGGAAAATGACATATAATTTGCTTTTCTCTCCAGTTTTCAGTTCTTTATTAGTAACTTAAAATAATGTAGTAACAATAAACTATTAGTTTAAAAAAAAAAAAACATCAAATCTACTTTGCCTATATAACAATCACAGTGAAACCACCTAACAAAATACTCTACTGAAGACATCCACTCTCCAGAATAACTACCAAACTAGGTCTTATGCTTGGTCCACAGGTACATGTTAAAGCCAGTATCTCTAACACTAGAAAGGCTTAGAAAAAAATGAACTTGGCAAGAATTAATAGATGTATGAAAAGAATAAACTACTTAGGAATTAACCAGGAAGATGAAAGACTCAAAAAAACAGCAAAAACTGCCAAAAGTAAAGAAGCCCTAAGAAATGAAAAGACATCCTATGCTAAAATGCTGGATGACTTAAGATATCAAAAATAAATAAATAAATGCTGGTAAGATGTCAATTCCACCCACAGCAACCTTCATAGTCAATGCTACAATACCCTATTTTGTTACTTCAAATAATAAAACGAGCTGGGGAAATGTGTCTCAGCAGTTAAGAGCACCCATGGCTCTTGGAGAAGACTTGTGTTCAATTCCTAGCACCCACACAGTAATTGACAACCATACGAACCTCCCAATTCCAGGAGATCCGATGCCAGTTTCTGACCTCTAGGGGCACTAAGTAGTCATGTGGTGTATATACATTTATGCAGGCAAAATACCCACAAATACAATAAAATGAATAAATCGAATTTTTTAAAACTTTACTAAAAAGGCTACAGTGAGCAAAACAATGTAATGCTGACTTAAAAACAAGCAGATCATGGGAAAAGCCAGAAACAAATCATACAAAATAATTTTGACAAAGATCATATAATAAATGAAAAGTGCTGGAAAAACTGTGTACTCACAGAAAGAGTGAAGTTGGGCCCTTACCTGCTATTACACAGAAAAATTAACTCAAAATGGATCAAACCTAACCCTGAAAACCTAGAGCAGACTTTCACAGCACTAAGCCTGACGGTGATTGGGGGAAGAAGATAGTAATGACACCGATGTTCAAGAACCAGAGATAAAGTAGACAGAGTAGACTTCATGAAAATAAAACATTTTTATGCATCAAAAGCCAGTATCAGGGAGCTGGAGAAGGCTCAGTAGTTAAGAACATTGGCTGAACTTCCAGATTAATTCCCAGTACCGACATAGAGGTTCACAACTGCCAATAACTCCAAGTCCAAGGGATCCAATGCCTTCTTGTGGCCTCCACAGGCACTGCACATATGTGGTACAGTTGACATATATGCAAGCAAAATATCCATACACAGAAAAAATATATATTTTTAAAGGGAATATCGGAAGAGTTTAATTTATTGGCAAGTGCTTACCTCATTTATATCAGGCCCTAGGCTCAATCCCAAACTCATCCCTCAAAAGAACTGTATCACTACAGTAAAAAGACAATCCAGGAGGTGGCAAGATGGCTCAGTAGTCAAGAGTACTGACAGCTTTTCTGGGGGATCAGGATTTGGTGCCCAGCACCCACATGGCCACTCACAACCATCTGTAACTCCAGTCCCAGAATATGCCACACCCTCTATTTGGCCTCCACAGGCACTGCATGCAGGTGGCGCAAAGACATACATGTAGGCAAATACCCATACACATAAAATAAAATATGGAAAAAAATTCAGCACTCCAGAGAATGGGAGAAATAGCCTGAAAACCATGATCTGGCCTGCACGGTGGTGCACACCTTTAATCACAGCGTTCAGAAGGCAGAGGCAGGTGGATGGATCCCTGTGAGTTCAAGGCCAGCTTGGTCTACATAGTGAATTCTAGGACAGCCAGGGCTATATAGTGAGACCCTGTCTCATGATCTGGACGAGAGAGATTAACATCTAGAAAACTCCTAATAATAAAATTACAAACAAATCCAACTCATAAAAAAAGGCAAAGGACTTACATTTCTCTTAAAATATATATATGCATTATTGGGAGGAACAAAAATCAGCTACTGAAGAAGAGGCTACTAAAAATAACTAAAAACAGAATTTTCACACAATCTAGCGACTCAGCTGATAGAGCTAAAAGAACTGAAAGCAAGGTCTCAACAATTCTGTAAACCTGTGTTCATAGTACTGACAACAAATAAAACAGAAGCAACTCATACTACCAATATTTATAATACTTAAAGCTGGAACTCAAACACATCGGCTTGCATGTGGATAAACAATTGTGCTATATTCAGAGTAGGACAGTACTTAGCAACAAAAAGAACCACTGTCATACTTGCAAGGATGGTTCTCATAGGTCAAACATGGAGGATTCACAAGAAATCCTACAGGAGTGAAAAAGCAGGAACCTACTAGACATCCATGCATGGTTGTCAAGGCCAAGAAAAAGCTGTGAAAGCACAAGCAGAATTTTAGAATATTAAAAATTAAATGGATGGGTAGATGGACGGACAGATACAAACAGATATGGATAGATGAATAAAATAGCCCAATGACAGTCAGAAGTAGATAAATTAAAGTAGAGGTCAATTAAATTCATCAAAACTAACACTTAACAAAATGAATTTTATTGTTATACTCAATAACTTCTGAGCTGGACACACCTACAATCCCAGTAGTCAGGAAACTGAGGCAGAGAGCTTTTGTATTCAAGACTAACTTGAACTAACTTGAGGCAGTATAAGGATACTGCCTCAAAAAATAAAAATAAAATAAGAATAAAAAACCTATTGAAAAAACTGATTTAAAATGCTTAAAACTAGCCAGGCATGGTGACACGTGCGTTTAATCCCAGTACTTGAGTGGCAGAAGCAAGCAGATCTCTGTTGAGTTCAAGGCCAGCCTGATCCACACAAAGAGTTCCAAGACAGCAAAACCACTGTGAGACCCTCTTTTTTTTAAAAAAAAAAAAAAAAAAAAAAAAAAAAACTACACAGAGAAAACTTATGATGTATACTTAGTGTTAAAAACAAGTTGAAGGGGTAGAGAGATGACTCAGTGGTTAAGAGCACTGTCTGCTCTTCCAAAGGACCCGGGTTCAATTCCCAGTACCCACATGGCAGCTTACAACTGTCTGTAATGCCCATTCCAAGGGATCTGACACCTTAACGCTAATGCACATAAAATAAAGATAAATATTAAAAAAAAACAACAAGTTGAAGGGCTGGAGAGATGGCTCAGAGGTTAAGAGTAATATCTGCTCTTACAGAGGTCCTGAGTTTAACTCCTAGCAATCATATGGTAGCTCACAACCATCTATCTATAAAAGGATCTGATGCTCTGTAGTTTCTTTTCAGACCAAAACCATGTAAGTTTACTTAAGGAGTCTCTGTTTGTATTTGTTTCTTCTTCCATACCATCCACCCAGGATACTCCAAACTCCTCAATAACCATCCAGGGTCAAAAGAGAGAGACAGACAGAGACAGAGAGAAAAGAGACAGAAACAGAGAGAGACACAGAGACAAAGAGGAGTGTTGAGACACTGTCTCTCTATAGCCCTGGCTGGCCTGGAACTCCCTATGTTCACTAGACTGGCCTTAAACTCAGAGACACGACTGCCTTTGCCTCCTGAGTGCTGGAATTAGAGGAGTGTGCCACTATGCTGACAACCATCATTATATTCAACCCTGCTAACTATTAACAAAAGCTAAGGGAATTACTAATATACTAATTTCATGTGTCCAAAAAAGACATCCAGTAATAGCAACTGTTACAGCTACAGACCAAAATATTGAAACATAAGTTTTCACCTGCAGTATCAAAAAGTCCAAGAGTATATGGCTCTCCACCAATCATAACTGTGACTGCATAGTTGTCAAAAACCTGAAAAAAACAAAAACAAAGAAATGTAACATTGTTAGTAGATGAGATAGTACAATTCCTAGCCACTTATTTCTTTCCTAAGAAGGTAATTCATCTTCCTTTAGTCCATCTATTTTTATGTAACCAATCCTGCCAACTATGTCCTTGAATGAGCTGAATGCTTCCTGGAAAAATATGAGACGAGGTCCTGAGATGTCTGTTTGACCCTAGTCTATTACATGAGCAAACACATAATCATAACTGGTATCACAGAAACCAAGACCCTGACTACAGAGGACCCTTCCACACCTCTGCAATGGGGTTGGGCAGTAAAGGAAAGGTGATACTCATTCTTTCTGACAACTAGTAGTATTGAGAAGCTTTTGAATCAAACACTTTGCTAAATGAAAATAAGTCAGCTTAAAAAAAGAAAAAGAGGGGGCCTAGAGAGATGGCTCAGCGGTTAAGAGCACTGTCTGCTCTTCCAGAGGTTCTGAGTTCAATTTCCAGCAACCACATGGTGGCTCACAACCATCTATAATGTGATCGATGCTGGTTTTCTGGCATGTAGGCATGTAGGTGTACATGCAAATAGAGCATGCATATATACAAATAAATAAACCTTTAAAAAAAAAGAAAAAGAAAAAAACAAACTGGGTTTGGTGAAACACTTCATAATCACAGCATATAGGAAGTAGAGGCAGAAAGAAGAACAGACCAAGGTCACTCTGACCTACTTAATGACTTTGAGGCTATTCTGGGTTACATAAGACTATCTCAAAAATAGTATTTTTAAAAATCCCCCTAAAACCTAAAAACTTTAAGACAGTGCTATATGCTTCAACAATGTACAATCAGGTATCTAAGAAACTATTTATTCACAGACAGTCCCCTTTTAATTCAGAACTGAAACTCTGCTGGAGAGATGACAGTAGTTAAGAACTCGTACTGTTCTTTCAGAGGACTAAGTTCAGCTCTCGGCAACCACATAAAGCAGTTCACAACAACCTGTAACTCCAGCTCCAGGAGAATCTAACACCTCTAGCCTCTGTGAGCACCTGCACTGATGGACAGCATACATAACACAATTAAAAATTAAATAATTAAAGAGCGGGGGAAAGAAGAAGCAATGAAGAAGAAGAAGCAATGAAGAAGAAGAAGAAGAAGAAGAAGAAGAAGAAGAAGAAGAAGAAGAAGAAGAAGAAGAAGAAGAAGAAGAAGAAAAAGGGGAAAAAAAAAAAACCTGCTAGGTGTGTTGGGTAGCATCAATCCTGGCCACTGAGGAAGCTAACACAGAAAGGTCACTTCAACCCTGGAAACCAATATGAACAACATAGTAAAACCTTGCCTCAGAAAAAAAAGGAGAAAAAATCAGAATCAGAAAGCACTAGGCAGAGTCAGCCGGTAGACCTCTGGGAGTTTAAGGCCCGCTGGTCTACATAAAAAGTTCTAGGAAAGCCAGGGCTACACTGTGAGACCCAGTCTCAAAAAAAAAAAAAAAAAAGGGCATCAGAGAAGCTTCTGATGAAATTTCCAAGTCTCATCTTCAAGTTGGACCTGAATTTTCTCTCTCATGGAAGATAAGGTGACCTGTATAATTCTTCAGCTCTAATCTCTATTCTCTAACTAATAACTCAGTCTACAGATGGGAATAAATATGCATTATATTTCCATGCCATATGTAATTACATATGCCATACATATATAATTTGCTTCAGCCTGCTTACTTAAGCAGGCCCACTTAGAAATTATCACACCTCTATTCTTTCCCAACCATGTACATACATATAAAATACCCAGAAGCTCAACTTTCATACATCACATCTAATAAAGTAATGAAAGATTTGGAAATGATGTTTACAAGTAAAAACTCAGACACAAAATTCCCAATGGCTATCTCACCCTGAGACATATCCCTGTCACATCTCATAAAGCCCCTTGTAAATTCAAAACATCTTTTCACTAATAGACCACTCAAAAATGTATTTTCTTACCAAATTACATCTTTAAATTCTTACCCCTCAAAGAAACTTCTTTCTTCATGTTACCTTAGCCTAATTCCACCACAAGCTGGGCCATCACAGAAGCTAACACTTCCAAATAAATAGAACTATCAATATATTAACCTGATAACCCTACCTCTGTCTCTGAAGATTAACCTAAGACTCTTGTTTTTGCTGTTGGCTTTTTTTTTTTTTTTTGGGGGGGGGGTGATACAAGGTTTCTTTGTGTAACAGATTCAGACTCTTTTTGATCAGTTCCAAAAGATACTAGTTCTACATCAGGCATACTTCAGACCCTTATAATCCCTAAAATTATTCCCCTCCCAGCACTAAAGGAGCAAGTACATTTAACATAATTATACTCTAGGTAGTTTGACCAAGCAACTCGGAATAAACACTGTAACCCAACTGTGCTTTCCCAAGTATTACTCCAAACAAGTCTCTCCCCTAATTATCATTTAATTATAATTTAATTATCTCTCTTCTTCCCTTCCAAGGAGTTAATAAAACAATTATAGCAAGACTCCCAAGACTTCAGTCACATCTCAAATGCTCTTAGAAAAAAAGGTGTGCCCTCTACCCCTAGGAATCTGTGTGAAATGAAGCCTCATCACTGTTAAGAGAACAACTCTATACGGTAAGTGGAAACATTATTGCTTTCTCTCATATTTGTACTCCAGGAGACCTCTAAGCTCTATTAATCAATGGAACACACACACACAGTCACTTCATCCCAAATATAGGGTGTGCTTCTGCAAACTGACAGCACCATGCTTCAGAACCTTCAGTACTTCTTACAGATCCTGTGTTGCCCTTTCTGACTCGAGACTCATTTTTCAGCTTTTATTTCACTTAGTTAAATTTTTTACCATTGTTTTATTTTTTAATAATTTATTTAATTTTATTTTATGTGCATTGGTGTGAGGGTGTCAGGAAACTTGGAATTGGAGTTACAGGCAGTTGGGAGCTGCCATGTGGGTGCTGCAAATTGAACCCCGGTCCTCTGTTAAGAGCAGGCAGTGCTCTTAACCATTGAGCCTTTTCTCCAGCCCTATTTTATTTTATGTGTATGGGGGTTTTGCCTGCATGTATGTCTGTGCACCACACACATGCCTGGTGCCATCAGAGGTCAGAAGAGGACACTGGATTACTGGTGGCTATAAACCGCCATGTGGGCGCTGGGAATTGAATCTGAGTCCCCTGAAGAGCAGCCAGTGCTTTTAATTGTGGGGCCATCGCTCCACCCTCTGCTGTTTTACTTTAAAGTGTAGGTAAATTACGCATGAAAAGTCATAAACCTTTAAAAATACCAGACAATGGGCTGGTGCGATAACTGACATGGTGAAGGCATTTGTTTGCTGCCAAACATGACGCCCTAAGTTTAATCAGAGCCCACAGGATGGAAAGAGACTCCACAGATGGAAAGTTGTCCTCTGCCCTCCAAACATGCACCAAGGCAGGTAAACACATGTAACACGTACCCCACAAAGTAATAAAGGCAAGGAAATTTAGTTTTATAAAGGGGAAAAGACAGACAAAAATATTTTGGTGCACACAGGAAAAGTTCTTTTCAATGGACAACACATTACAATCTCTTTTACTATCAAAAAGGCTTTATACTTACAGTTGGTACATATTCCGATGGAAATTTGTTTGTTGTGTAGGATATCAGGAGACATGTTTTACCAACAGCACCATCACCAACAACAACACACTTAATTGTCTGCATTGCGGAAATAGTTTTGTATCCACTTTTAATATTTCAAATTATACGTTGACCTACAAAGAAATTAAAGAATTATTTTTATTGTTATAAGCTGACCTACAAAGAAATTAAAGACAATTCTTTTTAATGATTTCTGTTTATATACATACTTTCTTCCTCTCAAGTAGCAACAAGTTCAGCCATTCAAAGAAAAGCACTAGTATTAGTGCTATGGCTGAAAACCTCTAAAAAGAAAAATGGCACCTTGCTCAGAGCATTAATTACAAGGGTCCATTTGCTAAGTGTCTGGACCTGGTTGTTTGTCTTAAGTACCATTTTTTTCAGAGTCCAAAATAGAACAGTGACCAGTATATTTTTCTCCCTTCACCCTGCCTTTTTTTTTTTTTTTTTTTTTTCTTTTTAGAGACAGGGTTTCTCAAGTGTAGCCCTGGCTGTCCTGGAACTTAACTCTACAGACCAGGCTCACCTCAACCTCAGAGATTCCCCTGCCTCTAGCAAGAAGGGGTGCTATACGAAATAGTCCCATGTGGTACATTAAGTATAGTTTGTAAAAGCTTGCTTTGGTATGTTCATACCACTTTTGGTATGTTCAAACATACTTTTGGTATGTTACATACACGCACTATATGTAAGAACAATTCCAATACAAAGAACACTATTCTAAATCATTCTCAAGAATGGTTTGTTACCTAAACTTAGAACTGCAGTAACTCGAGACATAAGTACCAAGCAGCACAGCTCTCGTCCACTCAGAATATGTGAGCATAAGAAGCTGGACAATGATCACAGTGATCTGTTTTCAGCAGCCATGGCAGCACAGTTAGCCTACTTACTACTCAAGAGTTTCAACTTATACTTTTACAATGAAAATATCAGCTCTTACAACCACGGCAATTTGTTTAAAAATATAATTACACTTGCTAGGAACATGGCTCAGAGGGTACTTTCAATACAAGCCTGATGACCTGAGCTCAGATCCCCAGAACCACATAAAAGTCAGGTGCCAGTGATAATGCCAGTAATCCCAGAGTGCCCCAGCAGGAGGTGGGAGAAATGTGCAGCCTACATGATACACTAAGCCGTAAACAAGAGAAACCATGTCTCACAAAACAAGTTAGAAAGCAAGGACTTATACTGAAGGTTGATCTCTGATTTCCACAAGTGCTCGAGCTCATTACTTTAGCTTCTCTTACTCTTCTTACAAACTATCAATTACAAATGCACCAAGAATTTACTGTACTCCATCAACTTTCCCTTTAAGTGTTTTGCTCATGGGTATGCCCTTGCACCATGTATGTGCCTGGTGCCCATGGATGGCAGAAGAGACAGTTGTGAGTCACAATGTGGGTGACAGAATGGAATCCAGATCCTTTGCAAGAACAAGTGTTCTTAACTACTGAGCCATCTCTTCAGCAACCCCTCCCCATAATTGTTTGTGAAATTAAGATATGGAATCTGTGAGGGTCTGTAAATGTGTCTAAGTACGCATGCACTGTGTATAAACGTGTGGGACAGTCTCGGGTGTCTCTGCAGCTGCCATCAGCTTTTTTTTTTTTTTTTTTTTTTTTTTTTTTTTTTTTTTTTTTTTTTTTGGCTATTGTTTTTAGAGACAGGGTTTCTCTGTGTAACCTTGACTGTCTTGGACAGGCTTTGTAGACCAGGCTGGCCTCAAACTCAGAGATCCACCTGCAGAGTGCTGGGATTACAAGTGTGCTCCACCACACCCAGATGATCAGCCATTTTGGTTTTGGGTTTTTTTTGTTTGTTTAACGGGGTTTCTCCTTGGGCTGGTGTTCACCAAGTAGCATAGACAAACTGAGCAACAAGTACCAGCATTTTTATGTGGGTTCTAGTGATTGAACTCAGGTCCTCATGTTTGTATTTTACCAACTGAATGATTTCCCCTAGCACCAAAGGAAAGACAGACTTAACAAATACTCCCAACAGTGAGAGAGAGAGAAAAAAAATCATTCAAGTAATCTCGGGGGTGGGGGGGTTACAATTTCTTGCTGGTTAGAGATGCCCACCTATTTTCTTTTTCTTCTTCTTCCTGCTGCCATCTTATTAAACATGAAAATATAGTCCTTTGGGCCAGCAAAATGGCTCAACCAATGAAGGCACTTGGCGCCAAGCCTGATGACCTGAGGTCAATCCATGAGACCCACATGTTAGGAAAAATTGACTTCCACAAGTTATCCTCTGACCTCCACATACATACTACGCACAACACATGCAGGCCTACCCCCTTAAACAATCAATCAATGTTGTGTGTATGCACACACATACATGCATATAAATATACATTTATTTATATATATCCTATCTCCACCACTGATTCAAATATAAACCCAAGGGTTGGACGTCATACCTATGTATTTCTAAAACTAGTTTCCTTCACAACATTTAATCACAATTTATAAATGCTCATTAACACCTCTGTATAGGTGCCAAGAGCAATTCACATGCCACTGTACTTTAAACACAACAGACTAACACATTAGAAGCTGATGAATGGGGTGAAAAGCTCATATAAAATATAAAAGTACATCAATCACAGGAGATATAAACCACCCCATTACTCACAGAAACTATGAGCTGGATATGGTGGCAACAACTATAATCTCAGCACTTGGGAAGCAGAAGTTTGAAGTCAACCTGGGCTGCATACTAAATTAAATTCCAGACCAGTCAGGACTACACAGGTGAGACTGTCTCAAAAGATTAGAGGTTCCATCAATAAAGCACTTGCTTTACAAGCACAAGGACCTGAGCTTGTTTCCCAGAGCACACCTAATACAAACAAAGGCTGGGAAGCAAGATGGCTCAATAGGTCAATACATTTGTCACCAATTCTGATGAACTGAATTCAATACTGAGGATCCACATAGTAGAAAAGGACTAACTCCTAAGTTGTCCTCTGACCACCACACATGTGACATGACACTCTAGGAAATCCTAACACTCAAATAAACACACATACATACAATAAGGGGGAAAGTTTTTTTAAGCTGGGCATGCTTGTGCATGGTGGTAGGCACCTGCAATTCCAGAACTCGGCAAGTAGAGAAGGGCTGGTCCCTGAGGGCTTAACTAGCTAGCCATAAGAGCTATTTGATGAGTTTCAGACAAGTGAAACATACTACCTCCAAAAAATAAAAGGCCAAAAAGAAGAGGTGGATACCACCTGAAAACCTAACCAAAACCAAGGCTGTCCTCTGGCAACCACACATATACACATGCACACATGTACATGAATACCTGTCCACACTTTTTTAAATGAAAAATATGCCTAATACTTCAATTTCAATATAGCCACATATGGTAGCACATGCTTTTAATCCCAACACTAAAATTAAAGAGACATTGGCAATCAGATCTCTGTAAGTTCAGGACCAGGCAGAATTGTACTGTAAGACTCTTGACAATCGATAGACAGATAGATAGGGCTGGGAACTAGAGAGACAGTTCAGTTGTCAGCACTCATGTAAGGCTGTTCACATCCACCTGTAAGCTCTTAACTCCAGATCCGTATGCCCTACTGTCCTCCTTGGACACCTGTATTCACATGCACACACCCACATATATATATATATATATATATATTTAAAGTGAAATAAATTTTTTAAAAATAAAGAGGCTGGGGGTGTAGCTCTACTGGTGGTGCCCTTGTGTGGCATAAATATAGTCCCAGATCAATGGCAAGCACTACTACATAAATGAGGTGTTGTAGTATACACCTTTAACTTAAAAATAAACAGCCAGGCGTGGTGACACACACCTTTAATGCAAGCACTCAGAGAGGCATAGGCAGCCTGTGAGTTCACATCCAACTTGGTTTATAAAGTTAAGTCCAAGACAGCCAAGGCTACACAGACAGATTAAAAAAAAAAAAAAAAAAATCTGCACCAGGGGTAGAAATACAGCTCAGTGGCAGATTGCTTGCCTAGCACGAACATACCAAGATTCAGTCCTCAGCACCACAAAAATTTTTATTTTCAACTATCATGACTGTATTTCTTTCCTTATTGAACTTTCATCTCTTTTCCTTTACATGCATAAAGGAAACATATCATGTTAGGGACACAGCTCAGTTGGTATCACACTGACAAGCATGCATATGTCCCTGGGTTAGAGCCAGGTATGCTGGTAGCACGTGCCTGAGAAGATGGAGGCAGAAAGATCAGAAGTTCAAGACCTACTTCAGCTATACAGCAGCTCAAGGCCCACCTAAGTACAAAAGACTAGTCACACATACACACACATACACACACACACACACACACACACACACACACACACAAAACAAAAACAGGAAAGTAGCATTCGTGCTAGCACAGAATTAAATAAGTAGAAAGTCCAATCACCAAATCACTTACTGGTTCAACCTAGTCCTGATCTCAGACTGTAACCGGGACAGGAGCGCCTGGTGCTTCTAGGTGTCAAGACTGTTCCTCACACGTTACATTCACTCTGCACCCTCCTAGCCACTCCCCAAGGCAGAGGTTTTCAACCTGTGGGTTATGAGCCCCTTGGCAAATATCTCCACAAATTATGATTCATAACAGCAGCAAAACTAGTTATAAAGTAGCAATGAAAACAATTTTATGTTTGGGGTTATCACAACATAAGAGCTGTCCTAAAGAGCCAGAGCATTAGGAAGGCTGAGAAGCACTGCTTTAAGGTATGCAATGTCTTCTACATATTTCACAGGTAAGATTAGTCTCAGTGAAGCCAAATAACTAGATCAAGGTTACTCAGCAGTAAGTGGTTTCAATTTAAACACCAGCACCCTAAATCCCAAATCTCTGCTCTTTAACATTTTGGCATTCCAAAATACCCTTTGAGAATCTAGGAGTTAAAACCCACAAAAGCGATAGATGGTTCAGTTGGTAGATGCAGCCCTGAATTCCATCCTCAGCACCAAAAGCTAGGTGCATGTACACACACTAGCCCTGGCACAAGACAGGAGAAAGAATTACCCCCAGAACTTGCTGGATAGGTAGTCTAGATGTCTGTTTCAAAAAAAAAAAAAACCATGGAAAGTAAGGAAGAC